ATTACCTGTTACAAAAAAAGGGACTTCTCTTTATATAATTAGTATAGATAAAGAGAATACCCTTTTTTGTAACAGGTAATCTCGCGAACGGCTGATCCACTTTTCATGAAATTTTTTATATAAATAGCTTTCAGCAACCACCAAAACAATTTACTTTTTTCCGGTAGGTGGACCAGCGCACATAACGACAAAGTGACTAATTACGTCGACAAAAATCGAAAAACAAAAGTCTTTAAATCTTATCACACATACCCTTCTAATCTATACTAATTATATAAAGAGAAGTCCCTTTTTTGTAACAGGTAGTCTCGCGAACGGCTGGTCCACTTTCATGCTATGAAATGCTGCACAGTTGGAGAATTTCAAGATCTTCTTCACGGATATAACACATTCCTTAGGTTAACTAAAGCGTCAAATGACCACCAAACCATAATCTTAGCGGATGAATGTGCCAATGAAAATCGTAAACGTGACTTGTTGGTGAAAATGTTGGACCAAAAAGTTTCAATAAAAAAATACAAATTTTGGGCGGGACGAAGTTCGCCGGGTCTGCTAGTACTCCCTATAAACCAGTCCACAATGTAACACACAATTTTGCGTTGAATTAAATAATTTTTTGTTTGAATTGATGATAAAATAGTTTTGCTTGTCATTTTATTCTTATTAACAACTAATAGTTTTCCCAACATGGAAAGTGTGCATGAGGTATGTACTTTATTTTGCAATTTTACTTAATAATATATATAATAATATATATTTTTATGATATAATTGCCTTTTTTATTGAAAAATTTTTTAAAATTTTATATTAGTTAGAGTTATAAAAAAGTTTCAACGAATACAGCAATTTCTCTTCAACAGTTCGAAAATCCAACAAATTGCCAATGTAAAAATATCACGAACTCGTCCCCTCTTTTCCCCCTTCATTAAATGGAGCGAATCGAAAATAAAAAGGAGGACAAAAATGTTTACTCCATATGTATTTGACAGATTTCAATGAAATTTGGTTTCCAAGGGTTTTCGTTGTCAATGATTTCGAAATTGACATCAAATTTTCAAAATTCAAAATGGCGGAAGATATCCTAAAAAATTTATAGATTGTTATGAAGCTTGGTATCCAGAGATTTTCGTCGTCACTGGTTTCGAAATCGATATTAGATTTTCAAAACTCAAAATGGCGGATCCAATATGCTCGACTTTGTGTTCATTAAGGAAATCTACCATCCCTTTCGCCGTAAATGCAGTACCTCGATCGCTTACGATTCGCCTCGGAAATCCAAACACATTGGACCACACGTTCAGCTTTTGTATTACCTCTTCATGTCCCGTAGATTTTGTTGGGAACAGCCAGACGAACTTGGAGAACCCGTCGACCATTGCCAATATATATTTGTATCGCTTAGTTTCCATCGGTCCAAGTGGTCGATATATGCAACGTGTGTAACGACATGTCACCCTTGTCTATACAATTCAAGTAGCCGTCTTGTTTGCCCAACTTCTTGCTATGAAGAAAACATTTTATGCAGTTGGCGATTAATTTACCTACTTTGCTTTCCAAATGCGGAACCCAGTACTGCTGCTGTACCGAGTACATAGTCTTGACTACCGAGAAATTACCATCAGTTTCGGTACCACCCTCGACTGACTTGAACAGCATACCACTTTTCAACATGTAATTTTCGTACGGACGCTCTTTAAGTATGTCGATGATTGCTTTCATATGCTCATCATTCCGCTGTGCTCTCTTAATTCGCGCTGAAACCTCTGATGTGAAGACTGCGGATAATGGCTGAGATAGTCGACATGCTTCATCTTGTTGCCAGCTCGATACTCTATGTCAAAGCAAAAATTTTGCAGGTATAACACCCACTGTGCATCTTCTCGTGGTACAACCTGCTTAGTAGTGGTTTGTTTGAACGCAATACAGCCCGTAATCAACTTAAACCGGACACCTAGCAGGTAATGGCGAAACTTATCAGCGCTAAGTACGCCGTTTTAACCTCCAGAATGTAGCTGTGTTTTTTAGATTATCCTTCTGATGTCTTCTTGCTCCAAAAATACACGGGATGGAGCCTGCCATCAAACTCCTGAAGCAAAACAGCACCAAAGCCTTCCTTCGATGCGTCAGTACGGAGCTCAGTCCTCGCTCCTCTCTGGTATATATGGAAGTCAATGTCTTTTTTTTAATATTTGTCAACGGACGGACGGACTTGCGTATAATTTGGAATAAATTTGCTGAAAAATCCTGTAAGACCCAGGAACGTCTGCACTGCCTTAACATTTGACGGAGTAGGGAAACGACTGACAGCTGTTGTCTTCTCTTTTCCAGGCTGGACTTCGTTGTTTTCGATGACATGACCAGAAAATTTATTCGCGACTGAAGAAACCTACACTTCTTCCATTTAATTTTGAAACCATACTGAGCAGCTTTTTTGATAACGATCTCAGACGTAGCGCCGAAAACTACAATATCATCAATGTACAGTTGCATAACATTATCGTTAATCAGCGCCTGGTATATGTGGTTCACGAATCTGATAAAAGCGGCCGGCGGAACAACCCCTCTCTAGTGAAGAAAGCTGTATACGCTCTACTTGCTTCTTCCAATGGCACGTGAAAGAATACGTTTTCAAGGTCCATTATTGTGAAGAACTTGGCTCCTTGAAGCTTCTCCAGAACTTTTTTAATCAGAGGCACCGGAAAACAATCATCCAGTACCATACTATTGAGCTGCCTGTAGTCAATGTAAACCCTTAATGTGTTTTCTTTTTTACGAACAACCACACCTCGACTTGCTACGTTTGACACAGATTTGCGTACATACCCTGGCTGATCCACTCGTCCACTTGGTTCTTGACAACCACGGCTTCATCTGCTGAGAGTCGACTGGCGGAAAGGTTTTACTATACCATCGGGTATAATCTTTAACGTTATGGGACACTGCTCCGTAGCTGCCTCCTCTGACTGATAACTTGCTTTAATAATACCTTCGATTCTTCTACGAAATTGCGGCGTAGCCGTTACGGTTGGAGCTTCAAAAATATTAAAAACATCTACGGCGTAGCCACCCAGAATTGCTGGTTCTGCTTCCAAACTTTCAAATTTGTACCCCACCGCATCCGCAACTATCCGAAACTTTCTAATAAAGTCATACCCCAAAAGAACATTGCTGCCCATTTTACCATCTAGCACTACTACTAAAACTGCTTCTGGGTATGCAGCGCATCAACCACCACATCTGCCGAAAAAACACCAACCGGCTTTATTGTTGTATCACCTAATGCACGTAATACAGATGCACTTGGATTCATCGGAATTTTATTGAGTGTTCTTGCAACACTCTCTTTTACAATCGTGACGTCGGACCCTGTATCGACTAAGCCCCTCCACCTTATCGTTCATTAAAATCTCTTTAATACGCTTGCGATCAACAACAAGATTCACCTTTTCGACTTTGTTTTTGCAATCTCGCGAAATGGGGGCTTTTTGGTTGCACTTAAAGCACTTCGTATCAGCTTTACAATCTTTGCGTTTATGTTACGTCGAGCCACAGTTAAAACAGTGCTCCCTTCTCTTATTTTGAACTAGGGATGGGTAAATTCGATATTCGAAGCTTCAATATTCGAATTTTAATCGAATTTTAGCTCCAAAATGGCGAATTTTTGAAATCGAACTTTGTGTTGCTAAAATTCGGATAAAATCGAATTATTTGGAAAAAAACGAAATTTCATATTTATTTCAAAAAAAAGTCAACTCTTCAACTTTCTTGTTTCTGACTAAATTTGCCATCACTGTGTGTGGCACTCCATTTGTCTTAGGGATGCAATTAAAAAATATATGTTTTTCGATCTGATGTATCGAGACGAAAAATCTGTGCCAAGAAGGAACTGTTATTCTTAAATTAAAAAAAATTTAAAAAGTAATTTTTTTTGATTTTTTATTTTAAATTTGTTGAGGCTTTTACGTTGGTAGCACGAGGCTTTTGCCTGAGAAGACCCCTAGTTAAATTTTCCGGAGAATATTTTTCTAGACTACACCAGTCCTCTAACGACCTTCCAAATTTGCTTTTTGCGGGATTTATTGAAGTAAGGATCAAAATTGCCCTTTTAGGCGGGAGCTAATAGGTTAAAATGTTCAACGAAAATATTTCCCATGAAATATGATTATATATGTCAACCTTTAATTTCGCTCAGACATTTATTTTAACTATTTTTTTGAAAACTACTTAGGCCGAGACATGAAAACTTTAGTAGGCCATGAAATAAAAATACGAGCTAAGTTTCGCAAATCCAACGAGTGTTTTACTACTGGATGGGTATACTTTCAGAAAATGTTAACGAAGTCCGGGCTGGTTTGGGCTGTCCTACAGTGTAATTTGAGTTTAACTTTTTAAGCAGGTGGCCACTCTCTTCAAGCACCTCAAAAATATTGTAATTGTTGCACAGTATTTTAAGCACAACACTTATTTAACTAAATTTAACTTTTTAAACAGTTTATTCAAAATCATTTCGATTGATACCCATGTTGGGGTAATTTATTTAACTTATTAAATAATTTGATTTTGATTTTCATACATACATTCATATGGCACAAAGCTAAAACCATATTACACATCTGCAGGGCAAGCCCTTTCATTTGAAAACTACCTCCTTTTTGAAAATCGAACGAACGATACAGAATTTATGAAATCGTGTTAAATATTTAACGAAAACATCTCCGAACTCGATTAAGAAGTATTATCGGCAAAGAAGATAAACGATTTTGTTTCAATAGCAGCTATAACGTTTATTTAACAAATTTAGTTATGAAAGTTAATTAAAAAATATTACAGCGTAGCGCTTTAAAAACTTTTGTCTTTTCTCGTCCTCTTACTTTGCTCCGAATAAAAAGTGCGAAAGGAAAAATAGAAAACTTCAGTACCTGCGCAAGGTCGCATTTATGATTGAAGCATTAGGGCTGGTTTCGACGGCAACATCCCCCCCTTCGTAAATGACCACCGGGTTATTTACCATCTTCTGAGCCGACATCCAGCTTAGCTACCTTCGTCGCCGGTCTCTCCATTACTCCTAGATTTGTCTTTATGGTTACTCGTCTAACTTGACCATCCTTCACTATCACTGTGCTGATTACTCGACCTTTGGGCCACATATTTCGTGGCAGGTTTTCATCTACGACGATTACAATATCGTCAACAGCCAGAGGTGTTAATTTCTGGAACCATTTATTTCGTCTCGTGAGCACTGGCGTATATTCCTTTACCCAACGCTGCCAAAAGGAATCTCCGAATAGTTGCACTCGACGCCAACGCTGCCTGACATCCATGTTGTTAATGCAAGCAGGCTTATACCCATCCGCCGAGCCGAGTAGTAAATGGTTGGGGGTTAATGCAGTGTCGTCAATCGATTCGAGGCTCACAAAGGTAAGTGGGTGTGAATTTATGATGAATTCGGATTCCATCAATGCGCAACGTAGACCTTCATCGTTGAATGGATATGAGGGACAGATGCTTCGTAATGTGGTTTTCGCTGACCGGACGAGACGCTCCCACACTCCTCCCATATGTGGGGCACTGGGTGAATTAAAGCGCCATATTATACGGGTGTATTTAACGGAAATTTTGTCGAAGTCGATTTCGATGAGCTTTTCACGAACTAGCTTTTCTGTGGCTTTAAAATTCGTGCCATTGTCGGAATAAATTTCCGTCGGAGTGCCTCGTCTTGCCATAAAATTACGTAGGCACATGATGCAAGAACTAGTGTCCAGGCTGTAGGCTATCTCAAAATGTACTGCACGGAGAGTCAAGCACGTGAAAAGCACGACCCATCTCTTCTCTTTGTGTCTGCCAACATTCACAAATATCGGCCCGAAATAGTCTACGCCGGTATAAGTGAACGGCTTGGCGAAGCTGGCCAGTCCTGCAACAGGTATCGGTGCCATCTGTGGAGGTGTAGGTACCGCTGAGTGAATTTTGCGCTTCTGACAGGAGTGTCGCACCGCTTTGTACAATACCCGAAGACGTGGTATGTAGTAGGAACTTCTCACGTTGTTTATGACGGTCTCGTGAGCCATATGGTGAAAGTTTTCGTGATGGGCCCTTACGATGAGAAACGTCGTATGGTTCTCTCGCGGCATTACAATGGCGTCCATGTGGCAGTCGATAGAACTGGATCTTCCTTGGATGCGCAAAACTCCATGATCAGGTAAGCATTTAGCCCAGATAATCTGCTTTGTTTACCCAGTGGTTGCCCAGCGTGTAACGAACTGACCTCGGAGGAATATGTTTCAAACTGCGCCTTCTTGATGAGAATATTCTCTGCTGCGCGAATCATCTCGGGTGTAATCTTGTTCGGCTTGCTGTAGCCGTGTACTCTAGCCTTTAGCTTAGCTATGTATAAAACGAATGTCGCGACCGCTCTGTACAGGCGACGCCAATCGGAAAAGTATTCCACGTTGAGGGTGATGGCTGGAGTTTTCCTCATCACGTATATATGTTTGCGCAACTCGGTCGTATCAACGTCATCAGCTTTGCACTCGAATACGGGCCAGTTGGAGCTTTTCATAAACAGGAAATCGGGACCGTGCAGCCACTCATTGATTTCCACCGAACTGTTCACCTTGGTTCCTGCGTCCGCCACGTTTAATTTTGTCGGGACCCATCGCCATTGTTTGCTGTCTGAGTTCTCAAGGATCTCTCCGACACGATGCATGACGAATTGCTGAAAATTGCGCGGATCTATCTTCAACCACTGCAAAACGGTTCTCGAATCTGACCAATATGTCACGTTTTGTATTTTTAGTCTACGAACGTTTATAATTCTCTGAGCTAAACGCAAGCCCATCACAGCAGCTTGCAATTCCATGCGCGGAATAGAAACCGGTTTAAGTGGAGCGACTTTGCTTTTCGCGGCCACTAGCGACAAATCGACGAGATCTCCTCGAAGGACCCTCAGGTAACAGACTGCAGCGTAAGCATATTCGCTTGCGTCAACAAACGTGTGCAATTCTACTTTCGTGCCAGAAAACAAATGTTTAGAGTAGCACCTCGGAATTTCCATTACTTCAACCAGTGGCAGCGTACGCTTCCATAGTTGCCAACCGTTGATTAGCTCCTCTGGCAGCACCTCGTCCCAGCCAATATTGACGCGCCATACGCGTTGTAGAAAAATTTTCAGGCCAATCGTGTAACATGAGACTAGTCCCAATGGGTCGAAAATCGACATGAGAACCTGGAGAACTTCTTCTCTTTGTTGGGACGACGTCCTCCGCTAAAACGTCTCGCCGCAGTCGAGCAAACCTGAGAATATACTTAAAGACGTCATTATATGGCTCCCAATACATACCCAGCACCTTTTCGGTCTCTCCGAACTGGACGGGACTTTGCACTGCTGGGTCAATATTTGATAGCTGTCTGAGAACATTAGGAGAATTCGATGCCCAATTTCGGATCTCAAATCCACCGGCTCGATGAACACTTCGAACTTCATCTGCTACTGCGAATGCTGCTTCTTCGTTTTCGGCGCTGTCGATGTAATCGTCCACATAGTGCGCATTTTGAATGGCCTCATATGCGCTGTGATATTTCTGACGATTTTGTTCTTCATTTTTATTCCGGACGTAGTGCGCAATACATGGACCGCAGTTTATTCCGAAGGTCATCGCACACATTACATATGTCTTCGTTTGCCCACTGATTTGGTCATACCATAAGAAGCGTTGCGCATGCATATCTTCTTTGCGAATGTTGATTCTGTGGAACATCTCGGCGATGTCCGCACAGATCGCCACCTCCCCAACTCTGAACCTCAGTAGGATTTCGATGAGAGGTTGTAATAAGTCGGGTCCGGTAAGTAAATGATCGTTTAACGATGTGCCGTGAGACTTCGCTGCCGCATCCCACACAAGTCTTACCTTGGTCGGCTTGTTGGGATTTTTTGCTATAAAGATCGGTAGATACCAGATA